CGACCCCGGCCGAGCCCTCCCTCCCAATTTTCCCGGACATGCCCGGCTTTTGGGGATTTCCCCCCGGACGGGGATTTGAGCCCCCAAAAGCCGGACATGTCCGGGAAAATCCGGACGTATGGTAACCCTATGTAATTACCAGTTCCCCTCGTAACACATTCCCTCCTAGGAATTATTAACACACATCTCCCTGCTAAGAATCCACAGATGAATCCAGCAGTTCTGACTTGTGCTGAATTCCCATTGTTTCCAATAGGTGTTTTCAGGGCCGCCGGGGGGGGGAGGGGGGGCAAGTGGGGCAATTTGCCCCAGGCCCCGCTCCCGCCTTCCCCCATCCCCCTGCGCCTCAGCACGCCGCATCCAGGAGCGGCCCTGGACAGCGCTGCAGCAGCGTGGCTCCGGCGGGACCTGAGCTCGCAGCCCCGCCCCTTACCACGCGGCTCTGAGCAGGAGGAGCTCAGGTCCCGCTGGAGCTACACTGCTGCAGCGCTATCCAGGGCTGCTCTTGGGTTACCCCCGCCTCTCCCCTCTCTCATAACCTCAGCGCGCCGCGTCCAGGAGCTGCCCTGGACAGTGCTGCAGCCGCGTGGCTCCGGCGGGACCTGAGCTCCTGCCGCTCAGAACCGCGTGGCAAGGGGGCGGGGCTGCGAGCTCCGGCCAAGCAGCAAGAGCTCAGGTCCCGTTGGAGCCACGCCGCTGCAGCGCTGTCGAGGGCAGCTCCTGGACAGGGCCTGCTGAGGCTCCGAGAGAGGGGAGAGGCGGGGGTAAGCGGCATGGTAAGGGGCTGGGGGCAACACATGGGGTACATAATTTTTCAATTAACTACCTGTGATGGTTTGGATCACACAAACCCCCTGGGAGCTGCCACCCACCTGATGTGCCCAGAGATTACTTCTAGCTCTGCTTTCCCTGCCAGCTCAGGACCCCAGCACCCTGTCTTGCTGAGCCAGACACTTCCGTCTGCTCCAACAAAGACCCAGGGTCTGAATTACTTGCCCCAAAGCTGCAGGTTTACCTGAAAGCAGCTAACAGAAGTGTTCCTGTCTTTAACACTCAGATGCCCAACTCCCAATGGGGTCTAAACCCAAATAAATCCGTTTTACCCTGTATAAAGCTTATACAGGGTAAACTCGTAAATTGTTTGCCCTCTATAACACTGATCGAGAGATATGCACAGCTGTTTGCTCCCCCAGGTATTAATAATTATTCTGAGTTAATTAATAAGTAAAAAGTGATTTTATTAAATACAGAAAGTAGGATTTAAGTGATTCCAAGTAGGAACAGACAGAACAAAGTAAGTCACCAAGCCAAATAAAATAAAATGCACAAATCTAGGTCTAATCAAACTGAATACAGATAAGATCCTCACCAGTTCCAGAATGCTCCCTTTTACAGACTAATCTCCTTTTAGCCTGGGTCCAGCAATCACTCACACCCCTTGCACACTGCCCTTTGTTCCAGTTTTTTTCAAGTATCCTGGGGGGTAGGGAGGCTCTCTCTTTAGCCAGCTGAAGACCACCATGGAGGGGTCTCCCAGGGGTTTAAATAGACTTTTTCTTGTGGGTGGAGACCCCCTCCTCACTCCTATGCACAGTCCAGCTCCAAGATGGAGTTTAGGAGTTACCTGGGCAAGTCACATGTCCATGCATGACTCACAGTTTTTACAGGTAGCATCCATTGTTTACATGCTACCTTGAATGTCCTCAAGTAGACTTCTTATGTGGATTGGAGCATTCCAAGATTCATTGTCCTTTAAGTGTCTCTTGATTAGGTACTTAACTTCAACATTCCTTTCTCCAGGAACCGACCAAATGCTCCACTAAGGTTTAATGTTTTTAAATAATGTATTTCGTGTATTTTCAAATTATTAAAAATTAATTTTTGAATGTATTTCACTGGTTATTTTTTACATTTCCAAATACATGTTACTATAATATTGCAACTTTTTTTTAATGGAATGGGCCCCTGAAATTGCTTTGCCCCAGACCCCCTGAATCCTCTGGGCGGCCTTGAGTGTTTTGCGCAGTTGAGGATTAGACCCATACATTGAAGCTCATTAGAAGACTTAAATGGTATTAGTCTTTGGTAGGGTGCAGTCCTCAGCAGGGAAAAAGCCCAAGTAAGTACAGCAAGGTTCTTAGAAAGTTCATCTTGGAAGAACTGAATTAGCACTATCCTCCTTGCCCCTTCACCCCACGCACTGTTTTAAAATTCTTTAATAAACAAGTGCATTGTCTAGAGGGGTAAAGTTACTTACTGCTGGTTGATCACATTCCAATGCAGTGAGATCTGTGAAAACAAAATTAAGTGTCAATGCTATTTTGCCCAATATTGTGTTTGAAATTAAAAGCTTCTACAAACTATGAATTACAGCTGCATGAGTCAATAGCTATCTTCACTATTAAAATTGATCACTTCCATTATACACTCTTGAGATACCACTGTTCTTGCTTGCTTTCAATTTTTCATGCAATATTCAGTTTTGGAAAGTAAAATCTGCCCTCAGTGTCAAATGCTCCCTTCTGAAGCCTTCTACAGTCTGAAGCTTCCCAACTGCAGTCACGTCACACAGCTGCAGATGAACTGTTGGAATGCACTGAGCTTGAAACACTTTGTTTTTGGTGTGACTCCATTTTCAATGTCTGTTGTTACCTCTTGCTTTCACTTCCCTAATCCTGGTCCAAGTTCATTATGCACCTTGGAAATAGTGTTTTCTGCCAATACAACTATGTGCTTTGTCTCAGAAAGGTTACCAAGCTTCTGCAATTTCATCAAGGGAAGAAGGTCACAGCAGGTGCAAAATATTTTCACCAATTAAATCAATTAATGTGAACACTTTTAATTGAGTTTCAAAATTTCTCATCCATTAGCAGCTATGGAAGGGTATAAATAAGGTCAGTGAATGAATGTAGTATAATAATAATAATTAATCAGGGCAGAATGTCCTGTAGTGAGAGCATGGGATTGAGATTTAGGACTCCTGGATTCTATTTCCAATCTACTACCAACTTGCTCTGACATTTTAAGTTTAAGTAACTTGACCTCTCACACTACTCATTTCCTAATACTAAAATCTTTAATATTAAACAAGTGGGATCAGTAAAACAGATTCCCAGGGGATGGCGTTTGGGAATGCACATTTTACAGTTTTTGTTGCGATACACAAAATATCCACCTACATTTCGCCTCACGAACATTCATGAGGCTCTCTCTCAGAACTTCTGATTGAAAGCAGAGAAAGGACACTACCTTAGACTGGCAATTAACCCAAAGCACTTCCACAGAACTGCTACTGGGGAGATCATTTCCCTAGAACCCTCCACGTATGGATTTAAGAATAAGGAGAGAGGCAGACAGATGCCTCAGTGGCACCTCCCTCCCTTGACCAAAGCATGGCGCCCAGTAGGAACTCCACTGCAAAATATTCCATCAAAGTACTTATATGTCCCCCGCAGTGAGCTGAGCACCTCACAAACATTAATCTCCCAACACCCCTTTGAGCTAGGGAAGTGCAACTAACCCTGTTTACAGATAGTAAACTGAAAGAAATTAAGTGACTTGCGTAAGGTCACACAGGAAATCTGTGGCAGAGACAGGAATGGATTCCCAGACTCAGTTGAATGCCTTAAACACAAGATCATCCTTCATCCACAAGCTGTGTTAACTTTCGGCAGACACCCTCCTCCCATTGGAATGTCCCCTCGTGGATGGGACTGCTGTAAACGAAAGAAACCCTGAAAGCACGACTCCATTGGAGTCATGTTGCTAGGGCACTATAGACAGCAACGGCCCCACAGTTGGCAGGGAAGAACAATCCTCGGACGTGATAGTGGTGGCCGCCTTTGAACTGAGGGATAGGGATGTAATTGCAGAGCTTGGCGCATGCCTAGTCCCCCAACAAAGAAACCCCTTCTGTAGCTTTTCTACCTTCTTACAAGTTCTAACACATTACGGGGAGGCCTAGCCCTAATCTAGTCATCAGACTGATCCTCTGAAACATGTTTCTCTTCACACAAGTGAATTTGCAGGCAGGCAGGTGGGCAATTTCTTTGGAGAAGCCCATTCTAACATCTCAGACCGACATACTTAAGCTACCTGGGCACTGCTCCCACTGGAGTTAATGAGAGCTGTGGTCATGTATCCAAAGGCAGAACTGGCCTCGCAACAAAATTACAGGACAGCACAGAAACTCTGGAAGCGTGGAGCAAAGTCATGGAATGTTGTTAGGCCGGAACCAAATGCTTCAACTGATCTGATTAATAAGCCTGATATAAACACAGAGAACGCAGCTTGGTGCCTTGCCAATTCTTTTACAGTAATTATTACTGAAGAGCAGGTGTCTGATTACTCACTATCCTGATTGACAGGCTCAAGAGAAATAACATGAACTAATGAAAAAACAACTGATTCATGTGAGCAACTCAGTTTCACTCTTGAATTCTAATCGGTAAGCACATGTAGTGTAGCTCAGAGGCTAGCACACTTGTCCTGTAAGTCAGAGCAGGTGAATCTGAGCCTGCTGGTGGTGTGCTTCAACTGCTGCTAGTTATATTAAGTATGAACATTTCACTGTTAGCTTGTCCTTACCCCCATTTAGTTGTAGCCTCTTTGTGTCTTATCATATGCTAATATTATAAGCTCTATGGGGCTGGGATCCTCTTGTTATTACATGTGTGGACAGTGCCTAGCACAATGGGGCCTGGGTCCCTGATTGGGCCCTTTAGGCACTACTGTAATACAAATAATGAAAAATTGTCATCATCATAACTTAGGTGAAGTACGTTGAGCACCTCAAAAGGTGTCTAAGGTATTCACAATGGATACGATTGGACATTACACTGGGTTTTAGCAAGAAGAAAAACACATGTTGAACTTGCATGGATAGGAGGAAACAAAGAATGATGATATGCTCCCAACAGGAAGATGCACCTTTTCTTTATGGGAAGAAAACAAGTCACCATAACATGTGCAATGTCCACAGCACTAGCAACATTTTTTCCACTGAAGAGAGCTGCCCATGTGGTCATCCTGTTCTCTCTCCCTTGTCTTAGGACACAGGGTCTATGTGAGGGGGAAGTGAGCTGAATATAAGCATTTTAATAAAAGCCCATTGTGAAACATTTCCAGACACTGAGAAATAACCCCACAAAAGTATACATTCTTTATAGGCAAATGCCTTCCTCAGAGGAAGAGCCCATTATTGCAGAGTTAACATGTAGCTCTGAAGTAATTACTTGCTTCCTCTGGAATCAGTTAAACAAATGTGTCCTTGGCTCCCTCAGCACATTTTATGGGCACCAATGGTTCGTTAGGATGGTTAGGGTCCTACTCAGAACGCGGCTCAAACTCACAGCTGAGTCCATATTACTCTGAGCAACACTAAGTCCATGCGCACATATGGGTGTAGGAGTCGGGGGATGGTTTTTTTTTTTTTAATTAATTTTAGGGGCAAATCTTGTTTCCAGACACCAGCCCAAACACCTGGGCTGGAGACCCTCTCAACAGTCCACAGAGCAAGAACGGAACGTCTCTGTAGCCACTACTCCAGCCTGAGGACTGGATACACTTGCCTCATCCCTGAGGTGCTATGGTCAGCCTCGGTGACAGCCCCTTGGGAGCTGGGTTCTGCAGTCCCTGCACAAGCTCCTGAAATCCTTCCTCTCCCTCTTCCTCAACGGGGATACTACTGCAGACAGGGCTTCCTGCACTCATGGAGGAGAGGGCTTGAAATGCAATGTCTATTTGTAGTATACTATTCAGCCACTAGATGTCTGTGTGCTGGACAGAGTTCCAAAGTGTGGTGGTTGGTAAACAATGTGGGAACTGAAGCTTTGTGGAAGCCTGTTTGGGTCTCTAGTTTTAGCTGCTTTCTTTAATAAATGCCTTCTGTATAAGAAGGTCTGTGATTCTATAGATCATGACAGGGTTTAGCCCCATAAATAGCTCATTCTACAACTGCGTAGCAATTAAGTATAACACTAGTTTTGCCATGATATTTTGTACATACAGTGTCGGCTACATGCTTATGTTGCAAACAGTGCTTTATAATTTGTTAAAATAACACATGGTTAATAAAGTCCTCCCCCCACGTTGGTTTTGTTGTTTAACCATAAAGCTCACTTCTCTTTCAAGCAGCATAGACTGTTTTTCTATTGGATTCATCAAAACCTCACTATGCATTTGACATCAGCAAGAACAGCAACAGGCAAACTAATTGGTTTCACTGGCTTCCAATATGTATCTCATTCTCACAATCAAGAGCAATGCCAAAACAATCAATGACGAGCCCTATCACTTGTTTTTACATTTACCTTCAGATTGCAGGGCAGGGCTGAGAGGAGAGAAGCACTAGAGTAAGGGAAGTTTAACACAAGTCAAAAGGGCACATTTCTCAAATACCCCAGAAAGGAAATGAATAAGCATAAGTTACCATGGTAACCTCTTATGTTCTTAGCCAGTTAGTTGATCCCACATGAACAAAGAGTTTTCCCCAACACTAAAAATGTCCTTGCATTTTGAAGTATTAGAGAAGGGGGTGAAACAGAGAAAGTAGGTGTTTTTAAATAAAGACAATTATTTCTCATTGATTAAAAAGTAAAACCTGAAGAAGCTGGGAAAGATTCTGTGTGTGCTCAGATTTCTCTCAACAGTGGGATCACATCCAGGTAGTTCCAGTGGGGTTGGGTTACACTTACACACACATTTACACACTCTAAAATAAACTTTTAAAATAAAGTGGCGAAGAGGAAACACGATCCCACAGCAAATCTACGTAGCAAATTGAATGCCCCCTTCCTGGGAGGAATACAATAGCATGCCTGTTGCATTGGGTCTGACATTTTAAACTCTTTGCTTTCCAAGTCCCCACCGCACAAGATTCATGGGCTGGGCTAGGACTTGGTCTGTGAATATTTTCTGACCAATTCAGAACCGGCATCAGTCACCAGATACTTGTCAGTTTTAGTAACAGAAGTGTTCTAGTGATTCTCCCCCATCCCACCCCCGACAGTCATTGTTTACAGAGTGCCAGAACTGAACATGGCACTTTACAGAACAAGACAAGATTCCGGCCCTGAAGAATTTACTGTCTGACAGAGCCTCCATTCCCCCCACCCGCTCCCAGGTCTGTCAGTCTAGTAGCAAAGGGATAAAAGAGGCTGGGGAAGCTTTAGGAAGTCAGCTCCACTACTGCAGGGACTCCACTCCATCTCCACAGCCAGTCCTGCATCCATTTCCCCTTCCCTAGTTCTACCAAGCACCCACTAGACCCACCCCTCTGCAAAGAAAGAAATTCAAGTACAGAGAGAGTTAAACTCACACTGGCATGAAATCATTGTTCTACAATACTGCGTACACACACAACACTCATCTCTGCCCATTTCCAAACCTCTGCCTGCCAGAAGCTGGGACTGGACCACACTAGATTATTGATCACTAGATAATTGCCCTGTTCTGTACAGTCCCTCTGAGGCACTTGGCACCAACCACTGTCAGAAGGCAGGATACTGGACTAGATGGACTATTGGTCTGACCCAGCGTGGCCATTCTTATGTTATGTAAAGCTGCGCCAGCAGCAGGAGTGAGTGTCAGAGAGAAAGGACTGTCTGAGCTCTGCCACCTAGATACCAAACAACAAACCCATTAGTAACCAGCTTACACCCCACGGCCTCCCCAGACACAAGAGCAGCAGCCCCCACCTACCCTGCAGTATCCTCCCCTGAGCCCAGGCACTCATGCTGCAGCAGGAGGATGTTCTTTCACAGCAGCATGACCTCTAGAGAGCAGCTCTCAGTGCAGTGCTCTGAGCCAGCAAGACCCTCGCTACCCCCGCCTGGACTTGCCAGTCACACTCCAGCCTGCTGCACCACACGCCTCCCTCCTCTCCACTCAACTCGCTCCTCCCCTGCCCTAGCCAGCAGCTGCTAGCTAGAAGCTTGGTCTAGAGATCATCCGAGAGGAGTATAAATCCTAGTCTGGGACAGCAGCTGCAGATACCTGCAGGGAGAGAAAAGGAAAGGCGGGAGGGTGCGTGTGTGACTTACCCATGGGGAAGAAGCAGGGGAGCGACTTGAGAAATAAAACATTGCAACCAAATCAAGGACATTTTATAGTCAATTTATAAGCCATAGGAAGGGGAGATTGGGGGGGAAAGAAGTGGGAGGAAGATATCCACCCAGCTAAATCCACCAGGCCAGCACTCTCCCCTTAAATTATCTCATCCTGGCTCCAAACCAGAGACTCCCTAACTGTGGTATATGGACCACCACAGTGAGCCGCAGTCCACCTGCAGAGCTGGCTGGGCGAGTGGTGCTAGCTTCTTTTCCTTTCCAGCTATCACACTGTATTAAAGACAGCTACCCACACATTAAATAAAACTGGTCGACATTCTTCGTCTGGATGCAGTGTAGCTGTAGCCGTGTCGGTCCCAGGATATTAGAGAGACAAGGTGGGTGAGGTAATGTCTTTTATTGGACCAACTTCTGTTGGTGAGAGAGACCAACTTTCAATCCACACACAGCTCTTCTTTAGGTCTCTGTGTAAGCTTGACAGTTGTCTCTCTCACCAATAGAAGTTGTCCAATATAAAACACATTACCTCACCCACCTTGTCTCTAGTATTTCATGAGGAAAGTTTTCCCACTGCAAAAAACAATTGTGTGGAAACCAAAGTTTTCCCCTGGACAGTATCAATTCAGACAAAAAAGTTGGTTCTCTCACAGGAAATTTCCAAACCAAAATGTTATTTCTTTTACACTTAAAATGTCATGTTGTTTGGATGTTTTGGTTTAAAAAAAAATGAAACTTTTACCAGTAAGTCAAAATGTTGGTTTAAAACAAAAATCTGGGGGAGGGAGGGGATTAACTGAAGAACCAAACAAAATGACATTTTAAACCAAATTAAACTGATAGTTTCAAATCAGTTCAAAGCTTCCCACAGGAAACCCAAATTTTGCAATTGAAAAATTTCAAACATGTAGATTTTTCAACTGTAATTTCTCCTGGGAAAACTTTTGGGGTTTTGATCAGCTCTAATACTAATGCAATTGCTGTGGTTGCTACAGGGCTGTTATCCAAAAGTATGTGAGAAGGGAAGTTGATTTATGGGATACTCCATTAATAATAAATAAATACATACATACATACTGCTAATTTAGCACTTTTTATCTTTAGATCTCAAAGCCCTTTTCCAAGGTCAATATTATTATCCCCTTTTTTAATTGATGGGAAAATTGAGGCAGAGCAATGTAATCATTTGCCCAAGATCACCTAGCAGGCCAATGGCTGAACCAGAAATTGGACCCACACCTCCTGAGTCCCAGATCAGAGCCCTATCCACTGGGTTATACTACCATAAGAGGTGGCCCACGCTATGAAAATGTTTCAGACCCCCCTGCTCCAAAGTAAAAATCCGAGCCAAAGTACCATGCGAGGCCAGCAACATTTACACCTGGAATTTTGATACCTGACTTCTGTTGTAAATTTTTCTTGGCCACGACTGAAGTGCCAGATTCGGAGCAGAGTTACACTGGGGTAACTTCAGTAAAGCTGATGCCTTTATTCTGGATTTACAGCAGATCAGAATCTGGTCCTGTGCTGTTATGCACAGCACTGAATGCCACTTGAACTCAGCTAAAAACTTGCCCATGATCACTGCCCAAGAGACATTTCTGATCTTTAGAAATTCACACTGATGTAGGGAGGATTAAGGCTAAAGAGAACCCATCACTTTTGAACTTAACCCACATCTCCAGAACACACAAAACATTTCCTCCCAGCCCAGCCCATCCCTCCTGCAGACTTTTCCTCCCAGCACTTCCCTGGGGGGACAGTTGTATTCCTTTCACTTGAGTCCTTGTTCCTTATCCAGCCAAGGCAACAGAGCCCAGCCCAGCAGACAGTGAAATAGAAGTAACAGGCATTTGCACCTGCTGCTCTCCCTCCAATTCACTGCTACATTCAGATCCCCTCTGAGCACAAGGCCTCGATCCAAGGATTCTCCTTTCATCTATTCCTGATTATCCGAAGTAGGCACTTCACTGATAAGGAAACAAATGTGGCCTTGTGGACTGAACACAGGACCAGCAGCTATGGACTGATTAATTCTAATTCTGCCTCTGTCACTAGCTTATTGTGTTGTGTTGGGGACGGGGCTTAAGATCTGCCTCTGTTTTTTCATTTGAAAAATGAAAGGTAATGCCATGTACCCGTTCTATTCATGGCATACATGCAAAGTTAGAAAAAAAAGGAACATGTATACTCTTTCTGAAAGGTTGCAGCATACCACTACTTTATTCCTTAGAATACAGAAATCATAGAATATCAGGGTTGGAAGGGACCTCAGGAGGTCATCTAGTCCAACCCCCTGCTCAAAGCAGGACCAATCCCCAGACAGATTTTTCCCCCATACCCCTAAATGGCCCCCTCAAGGATAGAACTCACAACCCTGGGTTTAGCAGGCCAATGCTCAAACCACTGAGCTATCCCTCCCTAAAACACAACCACCAATTTTACACCCCCCCCCCCAAGGCTGAGAAGCACAACCCTACCCACCTTGCTACAGACTGGCTCTTGCAGACTGACTGACGAACACGCAGCCCACAAGCTTCCCTACAGAGCCCCTGGTCTAACTTGCAGGCGAGGTTAACCCCTTACAACTTACAGTGAGTGCTTGTAATTTCAACACAGTTTGTAACACACCACATTGCCTACCCGTCACATGAGGGAGTTGGGAAGATGAGCATTAGTACAGTGCTTGGAAGATGCAAAACATATGAAGTGTAAAGTAATTCTGCAAAGATAGCAGGAGGGGCAAATTCAGTTTTATTACTGCACAAGGTAAGTCATGTCTGATGATTCTATGCGCTAAGCATTTTTACACTTCTAAAGTGACTCTGCTCTTTCCCACTCATACAGTACATTCCATTTACCTCAGTATTGGCCAGGTTGGGGAACCCTGTTCAACAATACAGTGGTCACTGAAACAAACACCTGTTTCAAATTATATTGAGAGGTGGAAATGAGTTGAAACTCACAGCAAGTGAAGCAAGAAGCACTTATGTATCTAACAGCACAGCTGAGTATTAATTTATTGTGCAGAGTTTAAAGAGCAAGCTTTAAGAAAAATGAATGTTTATCAGAGAAATGGGTACAAAAGGATGAATGCAAAATAGCGCTAAACTATGAAAGAAATCCAGGGAGACCATCTAAAAAAAGTTTCAGTGCTGGCACAGCCACTTTGTTTGTAGTCACATTACTCCATTGCTTGAAATCCCTGTGCTTACTCTCTCAACTGTATCAGCATTAAAATTAACTCTCCATCTTTTAGTTCCTACTTCAAGGATTGATTACACAACTCACCCTTTTCTCTAGAATCCTGCTGCTATGCTGCAGTTCTCTAACCACATGGGGTCTCTTCTCCTCACCTCCATGTGTGTATAAAAAAGCCATATGTTTGATCATAGCTCTGTGTTCACTCTGTGTATTGTGTCTCAGGAAGCAGAGGGCAGACTGTACAGGTAGAAGCTCCAGGTTAGAGCTGGCTTCCTGTACAGATGGGCCTGAGCCAAAATGCTAATGATCTGGATAAAGGAAAAAAGAGAGAGACACAACA